TTGTTATACAGTAAGTACAGTTGTAGGCAGTAAAATCCTAGAGGCTACTGTCCCTTTAAATAATTCATGTAAAACAATAAAGTACTCACTCGGTATCCTTTAACTTTTGTGATTTACCGATAACTAGTTATGGTTATCAAAAGTATTTGAACAACACACATCTATGCTAGAGCTCAAATTATTCTCTAGGGCCTATGCATATATATATATATAGCACAGTTTTTTCTATTGTATAAATGCAGATTCTGAGTAAATTCAATAAGATATAGCGGAATTTTCGCGACTGTCAATTTTTCTATGCATATGGGGCCCACGTACATATATACCCCGTGTCTGTGGCGCAGTGTTGAAAATAAAACGTGTCTAAATGTATACAAGAACCATCGTTTATTTCGTAGAAACGTATCGACAAACTTTACAGTAAGCTAAGAAAACGCGCTAATGAGGACCCAGATGCGCTCGCGGAATCCAGCTTTCTTTTATGTGAACTTCTCCGTATTTGCACGACCCTACTGGAAAACTAGCGACATACGGTTCCGGCCTGGTGGTATCGGTCACGCTGATGTCGAAATATCCATCCATGTCCAGGTCAGGATGGGTAATCACGTATTTAGGAGTATCTCCGGCGCTGGCACGGTTATGCGATTCTAGAAAAGCGAGGACATTATGCAATTATGCAATTGTGAATTAGATATTATCACCAGGAGTAAATAATAATAGATTATTATTATTCACTCCGGTTATTATTATATATTAGTGCATGACGTGATAAATCGTTGAAATCTCATTGGATAACGCAGCAGGCACTATGAAGCGATATTCCTTCCCAAAGCAACACTATGAGAGCATAGTGCCCCCAACAACAGGCATTAATGTTTTTAGTGCATCACATGACTATGCAATCTACTTTGCATGCTTATATACCTTCTTTATACTCCCTAATTTGCCGGTGCATTCGATGTAACAAAACGTTCGACACAAACACAACCGCCGTTCGAAAATCTTGCGTGGCGCCCAGACGCAGGAGATTCGTGAGGTAAACACAATGCGTTATAATAACAATGCGTCGCGCAAGCGATAGTGCCCGCTCAGGCGGGCACTATCGCTTCATAGTGCCTGCTGCGTTATCCAATGAAATTTCAACGATTTATCACGTCATGCACTAATTATATATTAATGCCTGCTGTTGGGGGCACTATGAGAGCATAGTGCCCCCAACAACAGGCATTAATGTTTTTAGTGCATCACATGCATGACTCGCACATGACTCGACTGACACACACCTTTTTTTTTTTTTAATAATTATTAATTTATTAGTATATTAGTTTGCATGCAATTAGATATCGTTAACCGCACGGTCTCTCGATTTCGATCGTCGTGAGTCATATAGGCAGACACCATGATACGATAAATCGATTTTTAGGCCCCGCGGGAATTTATATTCGGTCAATATGGTATGATTACGTTACATAATGCTACGATATGGTTTTACGTTTCTATACATAACACTGCGTACCGAATGCTCTTGACCTGTCTTCGTATAAGGATTTCTGTGAATAACAATTTTTCTCATGTTGAAATTACGGTATTTATATACGGAGTATGAATTTTATGAGCAAATCATTATCGTCCAACGGAAATGCTTAGCACGCATTCTATGTAAATATATATATTTCTATATCTCTTCCTTTTCTATATTAATATTTTATGTTTAATGTTACCGTCGCATGGCTATGAACTTTAGGAACTGCATTAGCTTGCGTGACCGTTGTTCGAGGCGATGCCCCACGTATTTTTACTACGTTTACGCAGTATGTTTTAAGTAAGGTTTTTTTTAAGGGGGTTTAGGCTGTCATCTCGTACCATGCTTCCAAATGCGTCTTCCAAATGTACTGTGTCTGTATGGTGTATGGATTCATCATCGCCCTTGACTGAGTCAGGTGCATCATTGATCTATAAACGAAGCCATTATCAGTATCTGCAGCTGAAAATGTGTAGCTCACTATGTAAATTTCGAACAACTACCCGTGTGGCCTAACAGGAGGCGCCACACGATGCATACTGTGGAGTAGATTGCAACGAATCGTTGTTGAATATTATGTAGGCCTAGATATATCACTTTATATTCTAATTCAAAATATGCGTGCATATCACTATGAATACCTGTGGATTCAGCACCGCGTAGTAGAGAAAGATGAAAATTCCCTGGGAAAGAAAGAGACAATAATTAGTACAATATAGTAGATCAATTGCCATCTCATTCAGTATGAATTATTTGTTTTCATACGTCATATATTTCGGTTAACGATATTATATATATATACATGTTGGAAAACAAGTCACTAGAGCATTCAATGCTTTTAAACAGAAAAAAACGTCTAGTCAATAAGCAAAGCTAGTTAATAGGTCAATTTTATCATCAAATAAATAGGCTAACATAGTTCGGATATCGATTACTCACCAAAATAGAATTAAGTAGACCGTAAAGCCAGTGATATATGACGACGTTGTTGTCATTGGTCGCTATAACTCCAAATTGCCAAGTTGGATAGAGCAGCATGAATAGAATCCAGAATCCTGAGATCCAGTAACTGTAACGAAACGATCGGAATTACTGATACGTCTACGTACTACAGCAGAATGGATATATATATATATAGAGTGAGAGAGAGAGAGAGAGAGAGAGAGAGAGAGAGAGAGAGAGAGAGAGAGAGAGAGAGAGAGAGAGAG